CACAAACTGATCAAAATACATCACCATAGGATGATAAACAACTAGAAGATGCTAATGATGAAGATGTGTTGTAGGACAACATGATGAATTAAGACCTATGGACCACTCATGGTTCTTCTTATCAAGATGATGATGTGCATAAAGAAATCGTATACACTGACCTCAATGCTAAAAAAATACATGGGAAATCCATATTTTCAAGTAGCGATAAGGTTTATATCATTAGTTGAGTTCAAGACTACAATCTAGAATTATTCTATTGCTAATGGTAGACTTGTTTGGTACTACACCAATGAGGAATTTAGAGTGAGGGTAAGATGCAAGGATCCATGCAACTGGGAGTTTTATACTTCTCAGGAGAAAGCACCTGGGCCGAATGATTTTGTCGTATGATGTGCATGAAAATTGTAGTCATGCTTGGAAAAATAAAAACATGACTGTTAAATAGATAGCTGAGGCAACAGTGCATGAGGAGTGCAATTACAAATATCAAACAAAAATAATTAGAAATGCTTAGAAATATTACTATTGACAAAATCAAAGGTTATGCAGTAAAATAGTACAAGCATATCTGGGAATATTGTTAGGGGATTAAGAAAACTCACCATGATTCTACCATGGCAATTAAGTTCACTTCATTTAGAGAACTGGGTTGCGATTCATCTAGGTTGCATTTATTGGTTCATGAGGCAATATTATTGTTTGGGTGCATTAAAGGAATGATGCAAAATGTGTAAGCTTGTGATTGTACTTGATGGATGTCATATAAAAGGGTCATACCCTAATCAACTCTTATCAGCAGTGGCAATTGATCCCAATAATGGCTAGTGGCCTATTGCTTGGGCCATAGTAGAGAAAGAAGCTACTGTCTAGTGGGAATGGTCCTTGGAGCTTCTCAAAGTAGATCTAGAAATAGATAATTAGTTTCAGTACACTTTCATCTCTGATTAACAAAATATGAGTATCTTGTTATATAACAATTGGTGCATACTAGTAGCCACTTCAAGTACTAATGTGTAAAGTATTTTTGTGGGGGTTGGATAGAGCATTATCCAAAGTGCTACCTAACTCTGACCATAGATATTGTGTATAGCACATATATCAAAATTTCAAAAAGAAATATCTCAGTAAGGCACTTAAAGAAATGTTATGGGTAATAGCTAGAAGCAGCACAATTAGCATGTTTAGGAAAACTGCTGAGAACTTGAAATAGTATGATAGTGAAGCATACAAATGGGTGGAGAAAGCACCTCATCCGAGCCACTGGTTTAAGACTTTCTTTTCTCCTCACATTAAGTGTAATATGATTGTCGATAATCCGTGCCAGTCTTTCGATTCACACATACTAGAAGTTAAGGATAAGCCAATCATATCTTTATTGAAAAATGTTAGAGAATTGATGATGGAAAGAATTCAAAGAAAGGCTGCCATTACTAGAAATCCACACTTACCAGGGCCTTTGACTAGAAAATTTATTGCTGATAGAAATGAAAAATTTTTTCACTGGTTACCATAATTCAATGGAATTGATGGATATCAGGTAAAGGCCCAAGGAATGCCAATTTACAGTGACTTTGAAAAAGAAGCAATGTACTTGTTGGATTTGGGAAGTATCTAATTTACCTTGTACCCATTTAATTGTAGCAATTAAGCAAATAGAAGATGATCCCCATGAAATGACTAATGAATGTTACTACAACAGCTTATTTTTGTAGGTTTATAATAATATCTTGTAGCCTATCAGTAGCTAGGACTGTCAATGGGGCTAGGCCAACTCAAGCTCGGTTTATTCATCCCAACAAAAAGTCCAATCAGCCCGACCTTTTAGTGAGTCGGTTTAGTTTAATTAAATATGAGCCGAGCTTGCACCTCATTAGGCTCAAATCCGACATAGATCCGACCCTTTAATTACCTATATATATAATATTTATATTTTGATATTATGTACAACTATATATCCAAATATATTATTACTAAATACTAAATGTCTATAAATTACAAAATACAAAAATACATCTGAAGACTCTCTTATGAACTTTCTTAAGAGCCAATATTAGTAATGCATAACTGAATCTCTAACTTTTCTTATTGGTCGAGTAAATTTTTGTGTTAGCATAATATTGGTTGATTTCTTTTTTGGTCTAGAAACACAAATCATCAAACATGTTTGGATTCAAATCACAAGGCTATAAAAAAATTTCAACTTTTAAAGATGTATTGGCTTATGACCGTATGTTTTATTAATAGTTTTCATGTATTTTGAACAAATTAAATATAAATATTGTTGAAAATTTTTTGGTTTATATACTTTTTAAGAACTATTATTTGTTCATGTTTAGTTTTAATATTGTAGTCTTGTAAATGTTAAATTAGTTTTACAATTTAATAGTTATAGTAATTATATTAAGAAAATTAAGGAGTAATAAGTGAGCTTGAGCTAAATATGAATAAGACTCACAACTCGAATATTATGTGAATTGAGTATGAGTTTCACGTTTATTAACCCGACACTCATAGAACGAAACTCGAAAATATTATAAATTAAATGAATTGAGTTCGAACTTATAAAAACCCGATTCATTAGGCCCGATTGACAGGCCTATCAGTAGCCAAATACTTTGGCCTAAGTCTACCAACATGGAACTTGATCCTCCAATTTCTACTATCCAACAAAGTATGCCAAAAGAGGCAAGGAAAAGGAATGATGTAGAAGAAAAGAACCATGGAAGAAAGCTCAGAGCATGTCACCATGCATTGTAGGAAATGTGGAAAAATATGGTACAATGTAGCAACATGCAAATAGATGACTTCGAATCGAGAAACTGCTTAACTAATGATGAAGCAATAGTAGGGATGGCAACGGGGTGGGGTTAGGGCGAGGGACCCCTCCTCCGCTCCCCACCCCGTTGCCTATTAGTTCCCCCCATCCCCCGTCTCCCGCTCCCCCCGCCCCGCCCCGCCTTGCCTCGCTTCCCTCGTGGGGCACCCGCGGGGTTAATATAATTTTATTATAATTAAATTTTAATAAATAATCAAGTACTAAAATATCAACACATCACCAAATTATTATTCATTGTAATTTTGCAATTGAAACTCATAAAAACAATCAAACAGAAGTTATTTGAATACAATCCAATATGATGAAATAAATATAACTAAAATAGTCAAGTTTTCACTTTTAGTACAAATGCAATCACTAATTCATTATTGTGTTTGTGCTTTTTTTTGAGAAAAAAGTGTTATTCTATTAAGTGTAATTAGAAATTTAGTATAAATGTATTAGTAAATTTAGTATAACTAATTAATAAATTCTATTAGTAGACATGTATAATTATTCATATAATTGATAATATCAATTATATTACATAAACTAATATGCATTATGTAATACATCTAACTAATAATATCATCATCATAAGTTTATAACTAATTAACTTACATATTATATATATATTTTTTGTTTTGCGGGTGGCAGGGCGGGGGTATACTCCCCCCCCGCCCCGTTTCTAAGCGGGGGGAAAAAATTCCCCCCGCCCCCGCCCCCGCCCCCGCCCCAACCCCCGCCCCGAGAGCCCCCCGCGGGCACTCGCCTCCATTGCCATCCCTAAGCAATAGCCTATACGTATACATATAGTTTTCATGCCAAATGTCTTACCTTTGTTAACCAATACACTTCCATTTATACAAAGTTTCAAAAAGAAAACAAAGGGCAAAAGAGTGCATGAGGAGGGTTTATGAACTCAACAGCAGTAGTAGTAGTAGCAAACTCTAGCAGTTAACCAGCCAAATCCACCAATCCCAACAATTCAGCATTCAATCCAGTGTCTCAATAGCCAAATCCACCATCTCAGCAACCAATATTAGCAGTTTAGCATCCAAATCCGGCAGCTACAAGTTCTAGATCTAGTAGAAAATTCTACAAAAATGGTAAATAGCTATTAACTAAAGCAAACAAAGGGATGATTAATGCTAATTAGCCTATCTGGAAAAGGAAACACCCTTCAAGTTTGGTAGGTAGAAGGGTAGAAGAGATAGAAATACTAGTAGATCTGGATTAACAAGAGCCAGAGGTGGCCCTACAAGTTAAATGGGATTGGATTATGTTTTGATGTTGACTGATATGTAAATGACTTATCCTCTAATTGATAATAGTTTATTTAAGTGTGGCTATTAAAATAGATGCATTATAGGTTAGGGGATCCACTTTATGTAAATAGTTGATGGCTTTTAGTTTGTTATGATAAATGGCTTTTGTTTTTTGTCCACTGTCTTTCTATAATGCATCTTGGAATAGATTCTATGTACTAGTGGAAATCAAAAGCTTTTACAGTTGTGTTTATGCAGTGGTTATGCTCCTTTTGTCTTGCCTTTTCTACATACACGAGTACTCAATTTACTGTGTTATAATACTGCATGCACAAGTGTCCATTCATTTAGTGCAAATCAAAAATTACTGCAGGGATTCCATTACAAAACATACCAATGGAGATCTCACTACAATAGACAACATGTTTCATCTTCTTGGTCTGATTATAGAAAACACTGCCAACTTGACACCTAATCAACTTTACTACGCCTACTTGTCCACAATCACCCTATAGCATTCACGATCCTTTGATGACCAAAGTATGGGCACTCTCATTGATAGTCATAAAATACAAGGGGATACAATACACCAATACGAAAAATCATGCAGCAAGAAGAGCTCTTGAGAAATAATGCTATGTAGTTTTGCGTTTTTTCACTTCAACCTCAAATTTTGAACCTTTAAACTCCAATTTTTTAGTTTTAGTTTCCCATCTTCTTGCCAAGGTTTCCAGTTCCTCTCATACAATTCCATTCTATTCATTTTTCTCAACAAATTGGGAATTACGTGAGTCAATCTTTTGCACATTTTTGGATTGCACCAATCCCAAAAGCCACATCCCTTATCCTGCATTTTACATGGTAGGACTAAATTCTCATGTTATAACTTCTCCATTATAAATCAAACACCTTACCTCTCATAAAGGGCAAATAACATATCTTCTTGTTGGGTTCTAGTTTGTCCATGAGGGCTTCATCGTTGTTGTTAATCTGCATGGGCATCTAGAAATAGGTTGAGAAGAGCGCCTTAACATTCTTTGTCTTCTTTGCACTTTGCCTGAGGAATTTAGGGCTTCAAATTGACTCCCTACTTCTTTCCTGAAATAATTTCACATTTGAGTATAGGTTTGAGGAAAGAAATAATAGGGAGAATAGGATCAATTAATTGTGGAAAAAATATCCTTGAATTTGCTATGTGTTCTGATTATTTGATAAATTAAGAGCAATAATCGATGAAATGGCCATGGGTGTGCTGATTGGTTAATTTAGTGGCCAATTTTTTTTATAAAAATTTATTTGATGGCCAATAGTTGATGCAAGCAATAGTTTAATATCCACTGAAATATTTTGCCCATAAAATAATACCATATCCCTCAAAGGCAGAGCAATTTTTAAGTGCCCACCCACCAAAATTTCTGAAGTATCCCCTTTTGATTTCCTTTGTTCCTCTAAGTTCTTCAAATCTATAATTATCACCTATTTAAAATGATGCCTCTTAGAAACAAAACCAAGTGCTAGTTAAAAAAAAAGAATATTGAACATAAAAGCTTTTTATTCTATAGTACAAAAAATAATTATCATTCAGCTTGTGCAATAACGTCATTATTGTAAAATTCAATACAACTTTAACAAAATTGACTCGACTATTATACTAGTTATTTATGATTTTCTAGACAGTTATTTTTGTATATAAAAGTTATCTATTTGGTTGTACTGCGTTGTACACAAAGCAATTGTCCCCCAGCTTTGGATTCTAACTCCGTCACTGCCAGCCTTTATTCAATAAAGAGGGCACAACTTTGAATATGTATGACATCTATGTTATTTTACAATATACAATTTATCACGTAGAATAGTAGTAGTGTATGTAGTACCCAAGTCAATACAAATTATTTTTAAAATAAGCAGTCAATAATACGCACCATTCATCAATTAAAGATCCAAATGCACCCTTTTCAAAATTTTCCTGCAGACAATCTCTATAACATCATATTGCAAGCCATAGTCATGGAAAGGACCTTGCACTCCTTTGTATAGTGGAAAACAAAGAAATGCGTTGAAGTAAAAGATGCTAGTCTGCTCCACGAGCAGTTCCTGAAGTACTTGCTTCATCCAAGAATTTTGGCCGGTCAATAGCATCTACCTGGAATTTAAAGGTGACAATCACTTTAAACCAAAAAGAGTATTACTACTTTATGAGCGCCGGAAAGTTATAGAGAAATTACCGTAACTCTATCTACCTGCTGATCAACAATAACATTGGCTTCTTCATGAATATCAACTCGACTCCCATTTGTTTCTAAAGGCTCTCTTATCACCACACCAATATTCCGGGCTTTATTTTTAGGCTTAAAAATTGCAAGTCCCTTCCCTTTATCCTTCCTCCTTGCCTGAGAGTTTGCATTAGTTGTTCCACCTCTAGAACGGCCCTGAAAAATACGAAAGTCCCCGAGCTGTAACATCCTAATAATTACTTATATGTTGTTAAGCAAATGACATATTTGACCAGCTTCAGGCTGAATGGGGAGTGGATACCTAGCGTTAGGCAACTAAAGATGGTGCTTACTCCATGATGCCAATGGATGATTTGACGTTTCCGGAAATAGCATAAAATTATGTTGATAACATGACATATGCCATAAAATGACTTTTCATCTTTTGCAAGGAAAATATCAGCATTAAGGACTAACTTGAACTGGCATATTTAGTAGGTTATGCTAAGTGGGCACCTATGCTAGGCTAATTTTTTCACTATCCCCTTTGATTCCAGGTCCAATGGAGATTGCCCCTACTGCTCCCACCAATGTTTATACATGTATAATTTTTTAAGTTTGTCCCAATAGATGAAGTTTATTCCTCTATTAGCAAAGTGGACATGCTTTGAACTACTTGTCTATAATTTTTGCTGATGGACTTCAATTGTCCGCATGTCCCAATGAGAATGTAAGTAAATGGCATAGATAGCCACCAAATTATTTCCAATTTCACGTTTTGATCACTGAATTTTTTGTTTAGTCAAAATGGTGATTCAACTAATAAATTGGTACATTTTCGATCACTCAACTCATCAAGACGTACATATTTATCATGCATCTAATGAAAATGCACACCAATTGTTTTAAAAAATGTATATTTAAATTAGTTGAATAACTATTTGAGCTAAATAAAAGGTTTAGCAACTAAAACAAGAAATGTTGAATAATTTAATGATCATTTTTGTCATTTGATCGTGAGAATATTATCTCTCTTTAATTACTAGTCCAAATACTCTATAAACTCCTTAATTAGTTAAGCTCACAAGTACAAAGTTTACAATTACATACTAATCGACTTGAATACAATTTTTATTTAATATTATTCTTTGTTTGTCATTTTTTCCCCGCCAACTCAACACACTTTTTTTGAGTCAACACACTTAAAACAAAATAACAACCCATTTTATTTTTTACATTTGAATCAAGATCAAACAAGACACAACTTTACCTTTATGATTCTTCTCCTTTCTCAATGTGCTCTCAATACACAAACCCATTTGCAAAACTTTCATATCTTCTCTACACATTAAAATCCACGTAAGTTATTACCTTTTTTTAACATTTCACCACTAAAGATAGAGATATTTTTTTTATATTGTTATGATTGTCATAATTGACTTGTTATTTTTTCAATACTCTTGCTTCTCTCAACGGTAGTCCCTCTCTCCATTCTAGTTGCCTCTCTCCTCCGTGTCGTTCATTCTTCTTTGTCTCCTTTCCCACCAAAAAATCCTCCTCCTTGTTTTTAAACCAAAATTTCTCTTTCATTCCAATGTCGTTGAATAATGATGCTAACTCCAATTAAAAGAAGATTGGATACATTTTAAGATCAAAATAATTAAACACATTTACCTTCAAGTGCAAAATGAATAAGTTTGTTTTTGTTCTTGCACTTAGTGGATATAGACTCAATTTTTTCATTACTTTTCCAAATTAGAAAACTGGTGGAATTGTTAAGATTGTATATTCAATTGCTTTGGTTTCTTAGTCCATGTGTTTGTCAATTGTGCTACCGTCACATTTTTCACAGTAAAAGTTCAGGAAATTCTCATACAAGTTAAAAACTCACAAAAGACTTGCCTCCTCCTTCCCTCTCGAAAACTAATTTTCTACTTCTCTCTAGATCAAAACCTCCTCCACCTCTCAATGGGAGAGAAACCAAACAAATCAGGTATCTGAATCAGAAATAGTTTAGTTCAATTATCATTTCTTTGTAGGACTTTAACATTGTACTGAGACGGATTTTCAAGGGGTAATAAATTAGTAGATTTTCAAGTATGAAACCAATTTATAAAAATCAAGAAATATTTTCATAGTAAGATAAGTAATTTTGTACCCTTTTGGTCTTTGAAAAGGTGCAACAGATCAGGTAGGAAAGGCTTACCTCATTATCTGATCTCGGAGACTGGTTTCCTGTTGTTGGATCATGAACTTGACTTGCAGCAACACTTTGATTCGGAAGGGTTATTCCCTCTCCCCTCAGTTGGACGGGATTCCGTTGGTCCAGTGATTGGGATGGCCTGTGAAGAATTAACTTAAACTGACTATTTTTGTTCTTAAATTCAAGCACCTCTGCTTCTATTCGATCAACAATGCCATCACTGCTTCCATTTACTAAGACAATAGTCATCTCCTCAAGCTTACTAAGCTGATCAGCTGCTCCAGGGGGAAATATTACCCTTCTCACTGTTGTGCGATAATTTGGGCGCCGCACAATACGTTCCCACAATCTTGGCTTTGGATTAGGATTGCACATTCCCGGGGCAAATGAAAACCTTAAGCACCTTAGGCCAACCAAACTGCTGACTTCTTCTGGTAAACAATGGATTGAGGTGTCTCGAATATCAAGAACTTCGAGCTTCGTGAGTTTCACTATTTTAGATGGGAGCTCAGTTAGGTCACCGCAATTGTTGAGGTATAAACTGCGAAGCTCAGTCAAGGAGGAAATAGAGGATGGCAACAATTGTATTCCGGTGCTGTGCAGGTCCAAAACTCGAAGTTCCTTCAAAGTTGTGAAGAACGGTTCCTTAATGCTTCTCAAGTCTGGGTTAAGTTGCAGAAATAGTGTTGATATGCCCCCACATTCTAGGCTCACAGGTAATTCCTCCAATTGGCTTTGTATCAAAGACACCCTTCTGGCCATCTTCCATTCTTCGTCTTTTAGGTGTCCGTCTATCTTTGGACCTGACCTGACAAAGGATGTTCCAACTTTCTCCCCGGGGAAAGTTGTACGAATTGCAAATCTCCTGAAGAGTATTGGCATCTTAACGTACTGTTCAGAACAGCTCTCTAAGAGATAATGCCCAGTCAGCTTGTGCAGTATGAAAATTCCATCTCCTCGGGCCTTAAGGAATGTAGGAGCAGGACAGCAAAGAAAACCTTCAGCTTTCCAACATTCGACTAAAACATTAATGGGAATTGTGAAGCCTTTAGGAAACAATGCTGCATAAAGTAGGCAACTTTTGCAACGATCCTCTTTCAAGCCTTCATAAGCTATCTCAAAAGCCTTAAATAATCCTCCTAGTCCCAGATCTTCAGATTCACCAACATCTGCTGTTAATTTGTCCTTTATAGTTCCCCAAAATTCTGCATCTATTTTGCTTTTTAGCAACGTCGCAATGAATGAGATCACCCCTGGAAGCCCGCCAAGCTCTTTAAGAATCAGCCCAATCAGATCACAACACTCTTTACTTAGTTTTTCACCTTCCATGATCTTATCAAACAATTTTCTCGAATCATTGTATGGTAACTTTTCTACTTTGATTTTTTGGTCGAAACCAAAACTCCTCAGCAAAACTGGATCTGTAGTTTCAATCACGACTATCCCGTGCTTATGTTCATAAGAGACTCCAATCTCCCCAAGCTGAATTGATGAAGAAAACCCCTCAAAAAGCAGCAAATATGATTTTTCACGTAATTCTGTAGATATTGTATCTTTATTCTTATCAATTGTACTAATCTGCTCAGTTAACTCCAAACGCCGAAGAATAATCTCTTGTATGGTTTTGATGACATTCTCTTTCTCGTGCAGATTAGTTGGAACAGTCACCCAAATGACGTAGTCGAGTTTCACTGAAGGAGGGCATGAATCAAACCAGTTATTCAAGTTCTTCATGATATTTGTTTTTCCAACTTGCGCTTCTCCACAGATAGCAATCCTTTTCAATTTTGCTTTTGCTTCTGCTTCTGCTTCTACTTCTGCCTCTGCTTCTGCTTCTGTTTCTGCCTCTGCTTCCGCTTCTGCTTCTGCCTCAACTCCACAGGTCTGCAGTTCACCAAGGAGTTCATCAAGGATCTTTTTATGCGAAGGCATAACATCTAGGTTTTTAGCATCTTCCATTCTTATAACAGCTTTTGGCCTCACTGCACCTGTTAAATCCGCAAGTTGTATGTCCTTTCGGGCTGAAGCAATTTTTTCCCTTAGCTTCATAATGTCTTTATCGAGCCTTGCAAGCTTGAAGAATTTTTTAGTCCATAATTTGTGCTCCCTTAAGTGGGAAATATCCGGCAGTTCATGGATCGGTGCATTTGTGCTCCTCTCATTCTCAACCGCTCTGTTCGAACCTTCCACTTCCTGGCGCCTTTGGTTTCCAGTTGCTGCTGTCATCTTTCTGTACTTTTCAATTATCTTTTTGTAATCATGCAACAACCGGAATACTACCTTCTTCCATGCTCCATGTTGTAGACGTCTCTGTACGGAGCCTGCTCGACGATCGATATCTTCTTCATAGTCATGCCAACGGGCATGAAGAATATCTGCTTCGAGTCCAAGATATTCAAGATTGTCTAGTAAATCTTTCACGTGTCTTCTCCTGTGCTTCATGTACACACAGAGATCTTTAACAACCGCATATGCAAATGTTAGAGATGACCCACCAAGTGCTGCATCAACAGCCATCCTGCAAGCTCAAAAGCTTTTCTTAAGCCGACCTTGAAGGTTCCAGATTCAGTAATTAAATTCATTGTTATGAAATGGGACAAAATGAACCTTAAGTCTTCAATGCTCGAGAATTGAGCTAAATTGGTTTCCAATGTTTCCACCAAAACAAAATATGTTTTAAGGTATTCAATTTTGAATAACGTAGTTTATTATGTTTTAATCTAAACCAATGTTCGTCTAAAGTATTTAATTTTCGCCAAATTGGTCTTCAATATCCATAAAAATGTAAGAAAATTTATTAACATGAGATACAAAATACATAAAAATTCAGAACAATGATAAAATTTATGGACAAATAATGGGAAACCCTAGAAACTCGGTAAGATATAATATAAGTGTAAACCATCCAATTTTTTACCAAATTAAAAATTATATATATATATATATATATACACCTAATAATTTGCTAATTGAACAAATCCGGTGCTGTTTTTAGCATGTATGATCTCCATTTAGTTATTTTCTAAACTTAAATATAATAATCCATTAAACAATATATTTTGTACATAGTTATTACAAAAATTAGTTGTAAAGTTTTGGTTTCCATTATTTTTATGGTGTAAGTAATATAATAGTATACAAGTTGTAAAGTTTATAAGGTGTAAAATTTATTACTCAATGCTCTAGTACTCAATGCACAAAAATTATGTAAAACAAACGTTATGACCTCTATTTTGCATTTTGTGACTTTTCACAATTTTTGTAACTATTCAATAATTCTAACAAATGGTTTTTAAGCTTTATTATGAGTTTTAATAATTTTTTTTAACATTTATAACCAAAATGGCCGAGATTGAATACCTGAAGGACTACAATTGTTTAAGCGGAAATATTACAGATCATTTTCGCCGATAAACAGTTTAGGAACAACATTTGGTTTAGTTGGAACATTTGGATTAATTTAATTAGTTCACATAGCAGACTAAACACACACACACACACACACATATGTCAGAGAAGCCAACAACGTAACAAAAGCCATCTTTACTTACTTTTGTGTAAGAATTCATGTTATTCTTCCCCTTGGAGGAGGAAAAATAAAAGGTTCTTTAAAATTAAAAAAAAAGTGTAATTTGGAGTCTCACTTTATAGTTTTCGTAGGCGATAGTGCCCATCAATTAATTTAGGAATATAAAGTGCAACTAGGGTAAGTATGATCCTAAACTCATTAATTAATTTAGGAATATAAAGTCACTAGGCACACATGCAACTGGGGGTTGTGTGTGCCAATGACTGCTCTGGTCTTGGAAGAAAATTCTGAAACTTAAAGAGTTTTAGCCCAGCCTCTCATTAAGAAAATGGTGGGAAATGGCAGCGAGAATTTTTCTGGTTCGATAATTGGCAACCAACGGGGCCTTTGTATCAACATTTTCACATAACTTACTCTCTTGTTTCAGATGTCGAAGGCAAGATACATTGAAGAAATGTGTTGCTGAGGGAACTTGGAAATGGCCAACTGGGAGGAGAAGGAATCAGAAGGTCAGGTTGCTAATGCAACAGATACCTACACTCTTTGTACCGTTTGTAGATGAGGTTGAGTAGAGTATACAGACACCTAGCTTCTTTGGATTGTTCATTGTTAAATCAGCTATGTTGACACTCAGATCACGGGATCAAAAAGGTTTTCTGGTATCATCTGGTTTGGGAAAAAACCTATGTACCTAGAGGCTCCTTATCTTATGGTTGGCCTGTAGAATGCAACTAACTACTAAAGTAGATTGCAGAAATGGGATTTACAGATCTTAGCTACCAAGTGTGTGCTATGCGGTGAAGTTGATGATCATCTTCTCTTCAGTTGCAGAGTGTCGCATGGATGTGGTAGAAAACACTAAATATGTTGGGATCTAGCCGCGTAACAAACTTCTATTGAGACATCAAATAGCCAGCAATTTAATAATAAATAAACTATAAATATAAAAATAAATGACACGCAAAATTTATTATGGGCCGATGTCCACAGAGAAAAAATCCTTCTTTATTGTGAGAGAATAAACCTCATATAAGAATATAACCTAAATTCAAGTCCAACCCTTGTATAATTGCTCTCTCACCTCCTAAGAACACATGTATAGGCTACATGGCTCGCACAGGAATGGGTACTGTCCTTAGATCAGATTTGCTAAAATTCTTGTAGTTGTTTTGTTCTATGTAGTTAGGGAATGCCCTGGTGTGTAGATATCATTGGATATTGTCAATAAAGAGCTTATTTTTTCCAAAAAAAAAAAAGAAAAGAGTATGATTCTAAACTATTTCTTTCTATTCATTAATTTTGCTATATCCATATACATACATATATATATATATATATTTATATACCTATATAGATAAATATGTAATGCATAATATATATATACATACATACATCATATGTAGGTACATATAGATGCACATGTCTATGTATATACATATCTACATGCATACATACATAATAATTAAAGGGATAATTTCACAAACCTCTCTTGAGGCTTTTAATGATTACAGAGAGTTCCCCTTAGGTTTTAAAAATTACATATACCTCTCATACTTTTACTATTTAGTAACAATATAGGTCCAACAATCCAAATTTTCTTTCAAAAATCCTAAATTGTCCTTTTGTACAAAACTAAGAAAAAAATATAGCATACTCAATCATTTTCTTCCACACTTTGCACAAATCAACTAATCTAATCCATAACAACCATCCAAACATAAGTTTTAAAATCAAATAGCTGCCCAAAAGATCCCAAACTACATATACAATACCAATACTTGTCACGTAAAAAAAAACACATACAAACCCCATTGACAACCAATTTTATACACCAAAATTAAATATCAATGCTTAAATACCTTTTCAATATAAGTTAAACTGACTAGAATCACCATTACAACACTCTATGGCCTTAAAAATATTAATATTTGAAAAGTAGAGAATGAATTCTACCTCTACAATAAAATCATAATAAAAAAATTCCTTATCCAATGAAAGAAATTCTTATGTAATTATTGACAGCAAACTAAATATGACAAATTTCACATCTTTAGTTCTTCTTCTTATTTTAATCATCAATTTTATTATTTATTTCTTTATCACTATAAGTCTCTTCATTTACTTTTAATTTGACACATAATCTACTCCCTCTGTTGATTTTGTAATTTCAATTTGCTAATATCCACAAAACTGAAAATAATAAACTTAGGTTATATCAATTAGAAAAGAGAGGATAAAAAATAGACAAGAGACAGAAAATAAATTTATTTAGGTTTTGAAAATTTGTTGCCTTAAATTTAAAATTATCTATCAAATGGAGGGAATTATAGGTATTTTACTATATCAAGAGAGATAAGTATAATTTCTTAAACCTGAGGGGAGCCGAATAAAATTGTCAGAAACCTCAAGGGAGGTTATTGAAATTATCCCATTATTAAATACATACATATGTGCATTTGTACATATCTATATGTACAAACACACACACATACTTTATGAACATGTGCACATATTTATGTACACACATATATACATACAACCACATGAATACACACACACAGGTATATATATATATTGTAACTATTTTTTCAACAAATATTCTCTCCTTGCATCTTATTGATGCACGGGTTTAATCTAGTTGTAAATGACTACATTTAAAATAGATCTCAATTGATGCAACATAGGATGCATAGAGATCTATTATATGAACATATAAATGAAGACGAAATCGCAATTGACACAACTACTGATCTACAAGGATCTTTCAGAAAAACATATATTCATTTAACAAAAGACATGAAAATCGTTATGAATGATATTGGATTTCTTAAATGAGGTGAGAAATTTTTTTCAAGTGAACTATTTTTTCTTCATTGATGATTGAGAAAGGTACTAAAAACTACGAAAGAAAATGAAACAAAAAATTTACCTCGAAGGATTATGATTGCTCATCGATGATGCTGAGCTTTGAACATTGGTTATTAGGAGCAAACAATTAAAAAAAAGCATTAAATTCTAATGAAACATCAAAGGCATTAGGAACTAGAAGTGTTAGTGGTTGTTTATATTTACCTTTCGGTGAAAACCATCACCTATTAAACCCAAGATCTTTATGGCAATTATTAAGAAATAAATCAGCAGCAAAATTGCGGAAATATACTTGGATTCATGTTCTCTCTATTGTTAGGATTTTCCTGATGATGGGATATCGGGAAAGGTTATTTTATGGTACTAAAGAATACGAGAATAAGATAAGTGTGACTTGGAACCATAATCCTATTTATAGATAACTTTCGTGTTACCTTTTCGGATTCTTATTTCAACTCATCATAGAAATAGAAAATACCTTTAAATCTTTATTCAATAAAAACCCAGATCCTATTAGATACATTAAAGCCCAAACCGTAATTGATGATTTTAATTGGACTTAACCTTATTTAACAATCTGCAACATATAATTATTCACATAAAAGTCCAACGTTAAATTAAAGATCCAACAAGAATATCACACATACAAGCACACACATATTTACACAAATACACACACACACACATATATATTTATGTGCGTGTGTATGTATAATGTGTATGTGCACAATAATATAGTTTAGTAGAAAAAATGTTTTTATTATTTTATTATTTTATCGATATACTTTAGTTGCATTTTTTCTGGTGTGTACACAACAATGTAGTTTAGCAGAAAAAAATGCAACTAAAGAGTACGGATAAAAAAATAAAATAATAAAAGCACAACAAGAGAAAACACACTTTGTCATAGTTTGCTAGGAAAAGTACAATTCTTGAGAAGAAGGGCAAAAAAAAAAATAGAAAGCAAAAATGATGAACATTCTAAATGCTAGTTTTGTTGAAATGGGTCAATGAGAAAGATATTTTGTGGAAAAATAAGGCTAGAAAGGAATGCAAAAGATAATTCCCTAGGGCTGTGGAAGGAAACAAATGAATCACACTTGTAATTTTTGTAACAATTGCAAGGAATAAGCAAAGAACCAAGGAGAGGAAAAATTATGGAAACAGTTGTCAACATAACAATCATTAGTTGATGAAGAATATCAAATTTAAGAGAAAACAAAAATTAATAAAATAACCTGAATAATGTTGGATGGTAAAATTCTCATAATTATACACATTGCTACTAGTGCACATAATTGGTTTCACCAATGAAAGAAATGTAGATAAATGAAAATATACTTTAGATCCCAAAATTTAGGATACTCAAGAGTTTCATAATACATTTGAAAATTAAAAATGTTGATTAATGTAAAAGAGAAGTTTGACCTAAGTATTTTGGATGCTTAAATTATTTTCTCTCAATAAAAGTTTCTCTAACTTCTCTTTGCAAGCCTTTCAACAATTCTTTTTTCTCTATGAGAGGGAGATTTTGGTCTCAAGTCAATATCTCCCTCCTTCTGCTCTTGTTTTATGTTCAAGAAAATCTCTTCTTAGGCATCCTACTAAAAGTTTTCACTCTTCTAGTGCTTACATGTGAGAGTTTTTTGCTTTCATAGGTTTCTACATGAGAGTTTTATCCCCTCATTGAGGATGGTAGCGAGAATTTTTCTTAGTTTTTTTTTCCATTTCTTTATTAGATTTAAGAATTTTTTAAAAATATGTATGTCAAATCTGAGATTTTTTTTGGTCCTAAAATCAAATTTCAGTATCTAATTTGAACTTGAACTAGTTGTATAGCAAATATGATATTATTGACATACACGAATATTCATTGGACCGCTTATGATTTATCAGGATTTGAAATATGTTGCACTTTCACAATATAATCTTTATTATTTTTTAAATCTATTAGATCTAGTGATTTTTTAGATTTATTGTATCTATGACATGTTCAATGTATTTTTTAACTCGTATAAATTTCATGGAATAAAATTATATCTTTTTTGTCAAAAAAATTAAAATAGTCACATTAGTAATTAAGAAAATATTTATTCTTATGAAATCTTATTTTCTTAAAACAATAAATGGCTAATTCTTCTGAATATGAAATAACTGTTGTCAAATTATCAGTGCGTTTGGATAGGACATTACACTTTCATATATATATAGGTTTATACTTGAAGTCTATAATTGGCTCAAACTGGAATCACCTATCACAAGTCTCGGTACAATTTGTAACGTTACATGTTGGTAAGGTTTATAGGTTCCTTTTTTAATTAGGATTCAGCAAGTAAAGGGACTATTTTGTTGATTCATTTTAATTTCTATGTAAAATCGATTAAGAACTCAAAAAACTAGGGGGTATAGGGCTTCACAAGTTCCACTTCAAACCAGTTTATTGTTAGAATGAGTTGATAGATGTAAATATCTTTTTAAATTTGAGAGATATGATTAGATATCAATAATAGACTAGGATAGATTAGATATAAATTCAAATTTATCTAGGTTCATTGTATCTCTTCCTAGTATAAGCCTATAAGTATGCTGATGTATCATTTGTGAAAGGTGAGAAATATAGAAATATTTCCCAAACTTATTTCTCTTCTTTACATATAATATTAGAGCGGGAATTCTAAGGTTTCTACTCAAGTACTATTCCAATATAACTTTGAATAAAAAAACATGGCAGAATCATTTGAAATGGTGAAAAATAGTGAAATTGCCTCCATCTTAAAGGACTTGATTGCAAGAATGACAGAAGTCTTAGTTAAGAGCTGGAAGACTATGCCAAAATAGTGACTCAACAATGACAAATATTTGCATTATGTTGGATGCCACCAACTATATCTTATGGTTCCAAGTTATTGAGAGTATATCTCAAGCAAAGATAAATTGGGATATATAAACTGTGAACTTCCTCAACCTTCACTGACAGATCCTATATACCCACAGAGATGGACTGAAAACTCTATCCTAAACAGATAGTTGATAAACTACATGGAGCCATCCTTGATTAGTAGCTTCATTCGTTTTCTAAACGTGAAAATGGTAAGGAGTCCGGTTGTTACAACATATTTCAATGGCGTTTATAAATTCCAATGTATGATTTGCATAGGAAGGTAGGTAGGATGAGATAAGTTTGAAGATCAATTGAGAAGCACTAACAACCACCCTCAAGGCTTGTAAAAGGAGATTGATTTTTGTAGCCTATCCCAATGGAGTGTGCTATCGATATCAGCAGGTATAACTCTCTAATACAAAAAAAGAGAGTATACATTTTCCTTGATGGGTCCACTTTGGACAATATTCATAGTAAGGTATTGCAACTGAAACAATTTTCGATGATAGAGGAGGCATATGCCTACTTTTGACACGAAAACACCAGACAAACTAATCGAGGTGCCAACCAAAGAAGATTATCTTGCACTTATTGTAGGAATAAAAAGCATTCCCGCGACACTTGTTTTAAGCTGTATGGATATCAAGCTGGGCGGAAGGACTATAAAGGACAAAATCGACAAATTAAACAGGTGAATATTGTTGAACATAATGGAAACTCTAGAAGAGTAGCCATAGCAGCTGGTAATCCAATAGCATTAGCCACAACTCTTATCATTACATAGGTGCATTTTGTCCTTTCTTCTGATACCTCAATGACTTGTCAGTGTCAAGGTAATTATAGCTGTAATTGGTGTGATAGTAACTAGATTGTCAATTAAGGGTTACTAATCATATGACTTTTGATCCAAATGATTTTTTCTGTGTTATTCAACCAATACAATCAATGATCTCTAATACAAATGGTGTTATATATTAAGTTACAGGAGTTGGATTTGTTCTTCTATCAATTCTTTCTTTATTTGACCCCTCATTAATTCCTCTCTGTCAAATAATTTACTGTCTATGAGTCAAATCATAGCCGATCTTATTTGTGCAGTATTGATACATCCAATTTTTTGTCTACTTCAAGATATTCTCACAAAGAAAATAATCAATCATGACAAGAAGAGAGGGGACTTGTACAACATGGATAATTTTAGTCCAGGTAAAACAAATCAAATAAGATGCACGAAGAATACTAAATAGTGTGAGATCTAGATATGACATCAGCAGTGAGGGCATCTATCATTGGTTATATAAGGCATCCATTTACTGATTTGTTCTCTATTATACATATTACTGATTTAAAATGTAGGAAAAATCATTCAAAACGTCCCTCACATTTTGTAAAATGACTTTTTTCGTCCCTCACTTTAAAATGTATAATTTTACATCCCTTACAAATTCATATTAATCAAATTTGGTCCCTACCTAGGTTTCTGACTAATTTTTTGTCGAAATTTATCACATGCCTTGCATGTTTTTATTTTGTAGGGGTAAAATTGTCAAATCAAAATTTACATAATCCATCTATAATCCCTTACATTTCACAAAATAAATTGTTTCGTCCCTCACATTTACAAAATAAATTTTTCATCCCTCACATTTCACAAAATGAATTTTTTCATCCCTCATTGACCATGTACACAAATAGTTTTTTTTTTAAATATATATATATATATATATATATATATATATCTATTTGATTTCACCTGAACAATATGAATAGTATGTAATATATCTCTATTTTGTTTCACTTAAACAGACTAATTGTAGTTGTGCATATGTTATTCAATAAATATATACATAAGTGTAAATCTAATAATTTTTTTTAAACCCATATATATTTATATTTGATTTCACCATGTAAATTTATTTAATATTTTTAACCATTTCTATTTTGGTAATAATTCATTTATTAAGTTGTATAATAAGACCATATAATTAATCAATGTTAATTCAAAATTTATAGTCATGCTAACAAATTACAATTTAAATCTAAAATTTTTACTCGCTACCTTTAAGACCAATAGTTGAATTCTTACCTTATAATTATTTTAAAATTTAAAAGTGTCAATCACTAGCTTCATTTTGTCATTCTTTTCTTTTGTTTATTTTTTCTATCCAAATTTAATTCGATATAAATGCTTGATAATGTTTAGAATTAAATATCTTCT